CCTGAAATGTTTGTCTTTTCATCCTGAAATGCGAGGCAAATGTTGGATCACAATAATTAGGAACCACAGTTTCCACAAATCCCTTCATTTGATTGGGATGTTCTCTTTTATTCTGGAGGGCAAGGGCAATGACTGTACAATCGAGCGTATTATGCAGTATTAAACACGTATTTATACCGATTTCATCAGGCTCCGAAAATTCTTCAAAAAGAACACAAAGAATGGCCTTCTCAGCTGCCATAGCTGCAACTCTTGCGTCACCAGAACAGTGTGTTCAACGCACCACCGTTTCCGTTTAAAAAACGTTTTGCACCGTTTGTGTCGGGGCTGAACGCAGCCCTGGACTCTTGATGGCTTCAGAGTTGAGACAGAACAACCAATATAATAAAATAAAATCCTGATTGCATAATAGCACAGTAGGTGGCGATATGCACAAAGATTGCAACTCGCCATAAAACCAAGAAGAAGAAGAACACGTGGACGGGCGTCGCAACACACTCAAAACTCATAAAAACGGTTTTGTTTTGTTTTTTGAAAGGACTCTCTTTATGACTATTATCTCTTAAGATTGGTATAAAATTGATCAGTAATCTCTCAGTTTGTGGATGGCCTGATTAATGTTCAGTGACTGCTCTCCATGTCGAGCATAGATTAAAATTTATAAATATCTAATCCATAGCTCTATTTTGTTACTCAAAATATTATGTGTCCGTGGTGATTGTGATCGAGACATTCCGGCCGGGTTTCTTTCATTTAACGTTACGTTGAGAAACAACACAATGAGCAAAAAGACCAAGAAAACCAACGTCAACATTGGCATTAGATGTTTTATCTGCGGTCAGCAGTACGGACAAAAGGTTTGTTGGTTTAATTCTATTTGAAACAGTTTTATCTGATGATTTGTTGTTCTCTGTTGCATCCTTAAACAGTGTATGGTCACTTTAGTATTGTGGCTTCAGATTAATTAAAAACCACAATAAATATGTGTTAGCCTATTTTTGTGTGCGGGATATATCGAAGGACCCGCCCCTTTTTAAGTTTTAGATTTTTATTTCATAGCCAAAGATTATAGAATATAAAGGGACTTCAGTCATAACCATGAACCATTATTTGGTATTTGCCAGTCTGTTGCACGTGATATTTCGGGGCGGGACATTGTAGATAATATTTGATTGGACAACACCAGTGAGTGCAGGATGAGTCATCAATATTTTTGGTCTATTGCCAATTCAGAAGGAAGACATTGCATTAAAACGATGCGCACATTTATTTTGCATTTATGCCTCTCGCTGATAAGATTGTTTGTTTTTACAGGTTATGGACATGCATATGCATTCTTATTTCCACCAAGAAGCAATTGAGAAGATCAAGGGCAGGTATGGAATTACACAGAACTGATTTTCGTGTCTTTCTCCGCTATATAAAGTAAGATGAAATAAGCACTGTTGTTGTTGCTGCAGTGAACAGCTGCATAAATGTTGGGCATGTGATGTATCTGTGATGGGACTAGAGCAGTACAAGGAGCATATTGCTACCCGTAAGCACAAACAAAGTCTGTTTAAACTCCATGGTAAAAGAAATAAAAGAAAACCTCTTCAAGTGGACTACAATATTAACCTGACTGATAATGAATTAAAAGCCATTTATGATCTAAGACAGCAAGACCGGTAAGTTTATCTTATACATTAAATACATCTATCTCTATTGTTAATAATATAAGTTTGAGTGGATAAATTGCTGTTTAAAATGAGTTTGCTCATTATTTTATTTATAATAATTTGTTTGTGAACTAGAACCAGAGATGAAAAAAAATATTTTTATCCATTTAGGAGAGAAAGAAAAAATCTGGACCAATGTTCTATCTGCTTTCATAGTTTCCCTGAACAGGTCGGTAATTTTGTGTTTTGGTAGAGTAATGGTAGAAGTCGAGTTGGTGGAGTAAATCAAAGCATAAATGGTAAAGTTCATAATATACAGGACAGTACTACCTTCCCTATGAGAATAACAATGTTGGATGGAGTCTACAATATTCAGCTTTATAATTTTTCAGGGAATTAAAATCATATTATCAGTAAGAAATACTTTTGTGTATGGTAATGGTGGACCTTTAACTCATTGGCGTTCCCAAATTAAATGTTAAATGCAGCCATTTTAGGCTGTAATTTTTAGGCACATCATGGCTATGGATGTATACATTAGATCTATTCTTTTATAATTAACTTAGTCTTTGTTGTAACAGGAGTGGGATATGCAAACATATGCATGGTTTTGTCCACCATCAGGCAGTTGAGCAAATGAAGGGCAGGTATGAAACTAAAAAGTGTTGTTTGTCATGCCCTGCTTTAAAAGAAAGTTCACACAGAAATGAAAATTATTTCATAATTTACTCATTTAAAAATGGACAATAAAGACTTATAAAAAGGTTTATATTTCAAAATAAATGGTGTTCTTTTGAACTTTCTATTCATCAAAGAATATTTTTTTCAACATTGATGATAATAATAAGTGTTTCTTATTCAGTGTATTAGAATGATTTTTGCTCAAATAAATGCATCCTTGGTGAAGCTCCAAAATTAGCCACGATAGCAGCTTAGACATTCTGCTTAATAACTCCTTTTGAGTTCCATGGAAAAAAGGCACAGTGATTACAGGGTGAACTTCATCTTTATTAATGCAATGCCAAAAATTATCTGCTTTTCTTCTTGCAGTGAACACGAGCATAAGTGTTGGGCCTGTGAAGTATCTGTGATGGGAATTTCAGCGTTTAAGAAGCATATTGGCACCCAAAATCACAAACAGAAGCTATTGGAATTCATTAAGAATAGAAAACTTGGACAAAATACAGTGGACTACAGTGTTGAATTTAATGAGCTTAAAGACCTTTGTGCCCAAAGAGATCAACAAAAGTAAGCTTGTCAGCTAGTTCATGTGGTTATACGTTTAATTATACATCTTTTGAATGGCTGAATGATTCGGATGCATTTGCATATGTCAGTTATTTGGTCTGTTGCATTAGACATTTGCTGTTAGACTTGTTGTTTCCTCCTTGTCAGATTTATGAAAAGAAAAGAGAAAATTGAGAAGTGGAAAGAAGCAAAAAGGCAAAAGACATGGAGGTTCATTCAGCCAGAAATCACAGCTGAGAATGAGCATTGTACAATACCTTTCATGGCGAATGAGGAGTTCACAGCTGACCAGTTGCTACCATCATGCCAATTCTTCTCCCTTTGTGAAAATCTAAATGACCATCCAGCATCTATCCAGTATAACCTAAACCTGCCTATACAGAGAGAAGAGAGCTTACTTAATACGTATAGATCAAATTGGCCACTTGTGAAAAGGCCTTGTCTTGAGAGACCATCAGAAAATATTCCTCAAGAAATGTCTGCTCAGGGCACTCGTCCCAACCCTGATGGAAAAGGTACAGATGTTTGTGTAAACGACGTGACTCCAGAAACTGATGATGGTACTGCTGCTGAGCCTACATGTGCCCCTGGACTGGTCCAAATGAGGATGGAGGCCAACATACCCAACTTGATAGCAACAGGTGGAGTTTGTTTAACACGGAAGGCAGCAAGTGGGAATGAAGCTACTGTTCCTAATCCTCCACTACAAAAACACACTCATTCCAAAAAGTCTAGGTTGAAAGTAAACAGAGCAACATCACAAAGTGAGCAGAGCATGACCAGGTGAATAAATGATGAATTTCAGATGCTTTTATTTGCTTAAACTCTTTGAGACTCATTCTTTCATAGTCTCTAACATTTAAACCTTAACATCCTTTTCTCCCTAGAGAAGGCATGATTGGACAAGAGCCATACGTAGATTCTCTTCCGCCGGTATCTTTACTGGCTGAGATGTTTGAAAGCCAGACATCAGAAAATGACTTGGAGATCATTGAAAACGTTCAGCCTCATACTGTGCCTGTTAAGAAAAACAAATCAAATGAGTGTGACACAGAACAGGGAGAAACATCACTGGAGCATCCCAGCAGCTTTGAAGCCATCTCCTGCAATGTCCAGAAAACCAAGAAAAAAAAACAAGTATAAGAGTTTTAGAGTGAAGTTGTGTCTAATAGAAGTATCTGGAATTCACAGAAATGTGTCTTACAGTTTTATTCATTTATTTTTACAGGATGTTTCACATAATCTGAATCCTAAGACGAACAGCAAAATATCAAAAAAAAGTGCGTATTCAATTTGATCATAGCTTTAATTAACATTTCTTATTTAAATTAAATGTATTATTATTTTTTTAATTCTCATTTTATCAGTGCAAGAAAATGCAAATTTGGATTTTCTATTTTAAATTTTATTAGGTGAATAAGTACATTGTACAAAATATCCTTGTTTCACATAACACACATTAGTCATGATTTATTTAATAGATGTTAAACCTCAATCAGCTGTAATTGATAATTCAGCAGTGTCTCTACCAGTAACAGTACATGTCATGATGTTCATCTGTGTGTATATGATTCTCAGGGAAAGTGAATAAGTTGATATCGCTGTCTTTGAAAGAAGAGGAGTTGAGCAGCTCTTTGGAGAATGTAGGTGAGCAGCTGTTCCAGGCGTATTCCACCCTGCAGAGCGCATACACGGAAGTTCAGCATCTACTGTCTGTTAAACAAGAGGTACGTGGCTGTTCCATTAATCTGCATTGCAAACTCTTTTCATACTTCAATATTTTAGTAGCCTACAATTTCTTTTTAAGCCTACACCATATTATTGTTTTCCACAATGTAAATTATTTTTACTGTCGTTGATGACGTTTCTAACTAGCAGCTTTGCTCTTAGTAAGACAAAGACATTTTCCCCCCACATTTTTCTGTAGCCATTTTGTACTACAATTAAACTCTTAAAATGTAAAATGCTCTGTAATATATATATAATATATACTATTGCAATTGAATATTAATTATACTGTAAATTACACAACTACTACAATAATCATATAATTATTTTTAAACTATAAATTCCTCTGTTGTCAGGTTACCTCAGAGATGGCCTCGCTCAGGGCAAAGCGCATAAAGATTCTGCAGGATATAAAGAGTAAGAGCTCTTTTAATGTCTCGCTTATGTACTAACAATGTATGTATTTTTTTTATTTCAAGTCTGAGATTAATATGTAATATTGTGCATGTAATCATGCTTGTTAATAATTATGCATAATTGTTGTTTATGCTTAATGTTTTGACAGATCCCGGTGACCTGCAGGAGGAGTTAAATGCCTCCTGACAGCCGTGCGAACCTCTGAGGAAGGATTCTTCTTTAGCAACTCACTGAGCCTCACAGAGCAGCTGAACCACAGGTCCCACTCCTGGAAGTATCTGATGCTGGACCTACCTCTCAGTGCACAAAACTGACCTCTGAGCATGTATCTCATCTGAGGGCATAGACTGCATTGCAAAGCCCATAACTGCACCATTATAACAGACTTTTGTTGTAGGTTTATGGCAGTTCACATTGGATTATGCATTTTTTTTAAAGATTTATAAAAGTTTTATGCCTTTATTTAGATAGGACAGTATAGGTTGACAGGAATTGAAGTGGGTGTGAGAGGGGGATGGGATCGGGAAAGGTCCGCGAGCCGGGACTCGAACTCGTGACACCCAAAGCGCAATGGCGCTGTATGTCGGCGCGCTGCCTACGAGGCCATCGGCACAGATACATTGGATTATGCATTCATTTGATTAGATAGATGCAGATTAATTCTAAAGGAAAATGTTTTGCTCTGATTCTGGCATGATAATATCATTTCTATCTTGACACAAAAAAAAAAAGTTTGCTCGAAAGTTTTTGCATGAAAGGAGATCTCGGAGTCCAGCAAAGCTTCCATCCATCTGAAGATTCAGGTCCGTTAAAAGACTTTCAAAAAAGCATCAGTTGAATATGTTCATTCTTTGCCTAGTACAGTAAGTAGTGTAGTAATATGGAATCATCAGTTCAGTTAATCATGCTTACAAGACATCAAACTAACATATTCATTCTTGCTCTCAGAGGTTTATAGTTGTTTTATTCACAGGAATCTAAATAATATTTTAAAATGTTCAAAATAATTGGTTGTTTAACTTGTTTTTATTATCTGTGTTCTTGCTACTCCAGCACAAGAAGCTTTGTTTATACTCGAGGTTAATTGTGAATAAATGTAATCATAAAACCCTTATGACTGGTTTTGTGGTTCAGGGTCACATTTATTGTACTATTTTGTGCTGTTTGTTTATGCTCTGAAAATCATGGCTATGATAACAACTGGAATAGAACCGTTTGAAGTTGAACACTTTATTTAGTTGAATTATTTACAGTAGCACACACATTTTTCAAGGATGGGTTCAAATGAGTGTCATTTTTGGCATGACATTTAATATGACAACATTCTGTCACCTTAAACATACAGTCGATCAAATAAGTGTTTTACAAGATCTAAATGAGCTGTCATGGTCCATTCAGTAGCTCATAATCAAACCAGTTTGTTCTAGACCCGCATTTGCTGAAGAAAGAAGCCACAGTGGTGTACAGTACAATTGATTCGAATCCAGATCTTTCTCCACTTAATGGGTTGAAAACGGGAAACTTTCCACCAGGTTTATCTTATGTGTTTGTGTCTTTAGGCATACATGGTCAGTTGAAGCCACTGTGTATATAGTATAGAAAACAGGAACTTGTTAGTGTAAATAGCAGTGATCAGTACAAATATGACCAAATGTGTTCCAATAATAATGCAAATATGATTGAAATCGATGCTGCTTGTAAATCTTTATTCTGTTAATATTCAATAAACCAATTAAGAAAAAAAGATGCTGCTCACCTCAAAAACATTGAGCTTGATAATGCCATCTCCATCCTTGTCAAAGGCTCTGAATGCCCCTGTAGAAGAATCTCTTTTACTACACGTATCCGATCGCTACAAACTTGCATCTCAAAATCTTGGTTGTAATGCCTTAATGAACTTAAAGTTATTTTAGAAGAAGAATATGTCTGAACAGAAAAGACCATCACACTTACTGAACATTCCCTCAAGTCGCACTAAGCAGCTAATGTAGCTGTCAAAATCCATCTCCATGTGTTCGTTGGCGTATCGCATGCAAATAATGTCATACAGCTGGTTGTTGAGTTGAAAACCTGAGGGACAGAGAAATATCTCAGGGCTCAGCCCAGTAAAAATGTGTATATCATCAAATTAAATAAATACATCTGACAGCCTGACCTGCTTCAGTAAGAGCGTTCCTCATCTCAAAACTGCTTATCGTACTGGATTTGTCTGTGTCAAAATGTGTGAACACCAGCTGAAAATAGTTTATAGAGAAACCGTGTGTCTATGGCTTTAACATTTTGTTGTAATACAGTGTATTACAAAAGAACATAACTGGACATGCTTTATAAAGGCGAAAACAATTGAATACCTTCCACTTTTTAATCTTGTTCCATAAGTGTTTAAACTCTTGCAGGTTTAGGTGGCCTGTTCCATCAGTCTAAGGTATCGTGGTTAAGTTACATTTGTACAGCTGTGCCATTGTGCATCTAGTCCACAAGGGGGACCGTTCACATGCTTGTAAAAAGTAATTTCAATATTCAATATTGAAGGGTCGTTCCAAACCGAAGTGCTCAAAACTGGCCTCTTAAAAGGACTCTTCGGAATGAAGGATTTCGAAGGGTACAACTGATGGACACTTCGGGCCCCCATGATCCTTTGCATAGGGAAGTTGTTTGGCGTCACAGAATTCAACTTCACCTATAAATGTATGTATAGTATTTTTCTATACAACTGTAATATTTATACGAGTTAGATTTGGTACATTATTACGGTCTATTCACATGTTTCAAATACATAGACACCCAATATACATTACAAATACATATTACATATACAAATATACATTATATTTAACGTAAAAGGTGATTGGGGGTCAACCAGCATACAAAACATGCGACGAAGGCGCTTCCTTGATCGTCTCGTTAAGGGGACGCAGAAGTGCGTTCCAAAAAAAGTTTTTTTTACCCATACACTCGTCATCCCTTCGAAGGTTTCACTCTGGAGGGTAAACACTTTGAAGGGATTAGGGCATAGGGATGAATCCTTCCGAATGGAACGCAGGGTAGGTCCTGTCCAAATACCCACACTTGTGATCTTTGCACTTGACCACTTGTCTACTTAATTGATGTATTTCCTGTATTTGGCCCAAGTGTTCAAGTGGGCATGAAGACCACAAGTGTGTGTAGAACTTTTCATTACCTGATGGGACACACTTATAGTGTTGTAAATATGTAAGTGTTTACAGAGCTTTATTTTGATTTTCAATACTTTGCATTTACAAAACAAATTTCTGTCTGTTCAGTAGTGAATGAAAATGAATGAGCAAGCAGTTGAACGTACATCGGTTGTACAGAACACTTCTTATTGTGGTGAATTATGGGATTAAATGAGTGCACTCAATGTCGACTATATTTTTGGACACCATTATAAATGGCTGTTACTTCAAATAGTGCATTATTTAAGAGTATGGGGGCGATTTTGGGCATAGCATAGTTTGTTTATTCATTTGCTGGATTAGGCCGAGTAATTGCTTTTCTTCCATGTTCTTTCCTAAATTTTGAGTAGGCAACCATTTACAAACCCATTTTTGTTGGTTGCCGGATTTCATTTCTTTGCTTTAGAAATGTTAAGGTGCAGTCACATTCACCGTTGTTCAGTGAATTTTCGAGTTCAATATCCAGTCATTTAAAAAGTATCTACGCGATTGGGAATTTCATTTGAAGGCAAAAGTTTTCCCCATGCAGATTTCCCAACGGGTTAAAGTTGGTCATGTGAATTCACTGCACTGACCAACAGAAAGCTGCTGGGTTTTACGTCTATGTGAGCTGTGCTTCATACATTGCTATACAATGACAAAGTAGACTGGACCTTTTTTGCCTGCAAAATTTCATTGGCAAAAAAAGGCTAGTTGTCAATGGCATAGAGATGTATGAAGCACTGATCACACAGATGGCATTTTCAAACCCAGCTGCTTTCTGATTTTTAATGTGCTGAATTCACGTGACAAACCTGAGAATGAGCAAAGTCTGTGTGGGGAACTTTTTCACCCTCACGGGAAACTCCTGATTGTGCTGATTCCTATTGGCATGACTGGATTTTGCCCAATGTGATTTTGCACATACATACATTATTTGACCATAATGCACAGCAGATCTAGTGAAGGATACATCCATAAGTGCAATCATACTTCTGCAGCTCTCCAGACTGAACCCCTCTGTTTTCAGCTCTTTATCTGAAGAAAGGAATGGATAGATAATCAAAACCCTACAGACAAAGACATACAAAATAGAATCAGTGGCAATAAGATTTTACTCACGTTTGGCAACCACTCTATTAAGGACAGTTCTGAGTTCATTGGCATTAATCTGCATGTCCTGCAAGAAGAAAGAGTCACAATGATGTGAAGTGAATATGGCATTCAAACATGCACTTCCATAACTCAACTCACGTCTCCAGCTAACTGCTGAAAGATGGCTTTGAACTGCTTTTCCTCTTCAGTCTCCTCCTCCTCAAATGGCTGAACATGAGAAATAAGAAATACGGAATGTACAACATACTAAACATCTAAATATGTGTGCATGTGCCTTTAAACAGTTCAGTGTTTAGATTTATTTTCTTCACTTTTTTCATAAAAAAAGAGCAAATCCACTTAATCTTTGCTTATAAATGGTCTTTAGATCAGAGTTTTAAAATTGTCCTTTTCTGTGGCTGTTGCAAATAAGAATTACATCCCAACAAGGGAGTTTTGTGGTTATTATTATGATTCTGAGTGTCATTATGAATTATAGTTTTGACATACTGTACAAGCTCATGCTGTCCACGTGCTGTTTGTTATTACTGAAGCAGAAAAGAAAAGAAAAACAGCTGCATATCTACAGCAGTACACCCAATTAACAACATCACAATGATTTTTCATCTCCTTTTCCATCTTTTTATCCTTTTTATCATCTGACGTGGGCTAACAGAATATCAAACAAGAAAGGAAAGAAACTGATGGAACATCTTCATCACATTTCCATATTTACCTTGATTTTCTTCTTGACATCATCCATCTGTTGGTATAAGAAAGTGAAACATATTAGATATAAAAATATCTTTTTTTAATTCTCTTTTGCGATTATGAAGAGGAAGAGAAGAAACTATTTGGGTGTTACTTCTTTTGTTCAATTGTACGAAAACTTCTAAATGAATGATCTGCTATATTCAAGAGACCAAACTACTTGACATAGTGATTGATAGACAAGCACAGAGACAGGATGAAATATGAGGTGCCGCAGAACATGACAGACAGAGACAAGTGTGGACTCACCACAGACTCCGCCTCAATCTCTGCATCTATAACCCTGCGAGAAAACATGCAGCTGTCAGCCAAATACAGGAGCATTAGCAGGTCAAGAGGTTCTTTCAGAAACATATCTGACTGTAACAAGAGCTTACATTTAAAACAATATAATTTATCATCAATACATAATAATTTTCATTGAAAAGTTTTTATAGAATAAGATACATATTTCATGTACATTTGTATATGAAGAATTATATATACAAATAGGTTGTCAATCAATTAAAATTTTTAATCTAATTAATTACATGATGTGGTGATTAATTAATTGCATATTACCCACAACAGATTAGTGTGTTACATGAGAAAAGCATGAAATAAATACTACAAAAAGTAGTAAAAAACTTATTTTTGTTTTTCATTTTAAATGAAAATTATCTTTTCAATCTTAATAATCTTAATTATCTTAATAATTTTTTTATTAATTCAATATAATTTGTTTTATTTTCAGATTTGTTTATTAATATGTAAATATGTTTTTTTTTAATGAAATGATGACCAGTAGGTTGCAGTAAATAACTTTATGAAGCAGTCATTCATTCATTCTTTCTTTCGATTCGGCTGATTCATTCAGGAATGAAGTAAATGGCTCTCTTTATGAATGGGCCATTCAATCATTGGTTCACCCCCATTCGTTAAAAACGCGGATTCATTCAGAAATAGTGTGTTGCTTGGTGACACACAACAGTTCTGTTGTGGCTTTAAGACTCACTCTGAGGTGCTCCTGTTCTCAGAGAAGACTCGGAGCAGAAACTCGCTCTCCTTGTGGGGATCAAAGGTGGATGGGATAATGACATACTCGCCCGGTTTCAAGCAAAAACGCTCCGTTACCTCACGCATGTTGGCATAGGACTTGCAGCGAGCTGTAGAAGCATTATAAATGAAGAAGTCCTTTGGCAGCTGTTGTTGGTTGCCCTTCATCTAAAATCAGGATAGCAGATAGAACATTTCAAAACAAAGAAATACATGAGTTATTTTATTCTGTAGCGAATCAATACGTTTTTGTAAGGAAAATATCCATATTCAAAACGTAATAATCACTTTAATGTAGCTTGCGCTCACAGTTGTAAAGGGAAGCAGTTCCGGGGGAATGACGTATGAGGTCGGCTTTGCATATGCGCCGCTCAGAAGTGACGAACCCGGAAGCGGAGGGGAGAGATCAAAACAAAACAATGGTCACGAATTAGAAGTACAAAACGAGGATTTGTAAAGAAGAATGTCAGAGGATTTCAATATAAGCCAAGAGGAGACTGGTTTTCCTTTTCTAAAGTAAGGAAACTTTGCTTCCTTTGCTCCTGTTAACAAACGTTGGTTTTCACGAGACTCACCAGCGCATGCGCAACACTGCCCTCATACATCATCCGCCCGGAACTGCTTCCCTTTACAACAGTGAGTGCAAGCTACATTAAAGAAATTATTACGTTTTGAATATGGATATTTTTCTTACAAAAACGCATCGATTCGCTACAGAAGGCCTTTGTTCACCCCCCAGAGCTGTGTGAGACACTTTTTTTTATGGATGGGTGCTTTTTATTTAACTTGTTTTGGACTGAAGCATGCAACACCCGCTGAGTGCCATGAAACAGCTTGAAAGATCAAAGACAATTTTTAATATAACTCCGACTGGATTCATCTGAAAGAAGAAAGTCATATACACCTAGGATGACTTGAGGGTAAGTCATTTATGGGCTAATTTTCATTTTTGGGTGAACTAACCAGTACAATGAAGTACTGGCAAACAACAAAGATGTGTCTGTTTATATGCAGTCACACTGACATATGATGTCATCACTGCGGTCTCTTCATGATGTAGTCATACCTCATTAGGAACCTATAAAACAGTGGGTAAATCAGTGTTAAGATAAATCAGCAACCATGGTAATTAACTGAAAAACTTTAAGTTATTAAACTGCTAACAAACACGTCATTTAGCCTTGCACATTTAGTCCAAAAAAATAAAGGTCACAACCAATGCCATAGAAAAACCTTCCAGTGAACAGTTCTTTTAGTAATTATTTTTTTTAGTGTGAAGAACATAATCTGAAGAACCTTTTTTCCACTATAAAGAACAGTTTGTGCATGTGAAAGGTTCCACGGAACTACAAATGCCAATAAAGTACATATGTGTTGGTTACATATGTACTGTTCTTTGTACTGAGGGTGTTTAATTGAGCGCACCTCATAGATGGCGAAGCCAATGTTGTGTAGGATGGCACCTGAGCAGCGCTCTTTTCTTCTGTCCTTCTGCATTAATGCCACCACCACCGTACAGGTCTTCTCTTTAGTGTCCGCCTCCAGAAGAACCAGGCGGAACTGAGGGTTCGTCCAGTATGTATCTGTGACAAAATGGACAGAAAGAGCTTTGATTAGTGGTGTGGGGATTATTGTGAAATTATATTTATATTTAAACTTTTTTTAGTAAAAAAAAACATAAAACATTTTCATTACTGGAAATAAAAAATAACTAACTTAAAATATAAAAACTTAAAAAAAAAAATTTATCTATAGATTATCTGTTAATGTACAGTAAGGTGCTTTTAAAACCATCTCATGAGGGCAAACGAGTCTACAATGTTGCAAGATTATATTAGATACCCGGAAAGTTTCTGCAGCCACCAGCAGAAGCTGTTTAAAATAGTTGAGCTTGTGCTTCTTTTCAAGTTTTTATATCAGAAACCATATCTGAAATTCAGGATGGTCCAGTTTTGATGTCCATACCTGAAAATGGAAAATGCCAGCATAGTTTTCAGTGAAGCTCTGGTCATGGGGAACCACCCTCTTCAGGACTATATCATTCAGGGTCAGGCAAGTAATGGCAGCCAGCAGCCAGCAGTCTCCTGTAGATGTTAATATAACAACAAAATTAATGTTTCACTACATAGCATTACAACACATATTTTTATTAAATATAGGTGACACTTTATTTTCAAAATAGAAATGTAAGGGTATGTAAATGTATATATTTGCTGTAACCCATTGCTTTAGGGGTTTGCACCACCTCTTAATCAACATTTTTAAGTCATACAAATAAAAATAGAAATACAATATTAGCATAGAACATAGAAACATAAAAATGCAAATATGATTAAATATCTAAAATATTTAGATATATTAATTCCATAAATATATATTTTATATATTGGAATATTTTGCCACATTGTTTCATTTATTGTTTCATTTCAGTTAGGTCTTGTACAATATAAAAATATTTTATGCTTGGAATATAACGCATTATGCATGACTTGTACAGCCCCAGTACAGTATTTTAAAAATAGTGGACTCATCTTCACCAAAGTAAAAATAAATAATTAATTAAATAATGCATTATTGCTAATGGAAAAAAATTAAAAGGTTTAAGTTTAAACAAAAAGCTGAACTGAAAAAACGTTGGGTATACTGTACACTGTACAGGTACAGAAATGAGCGCCTTTGCTCTGCGCGCCTCTTGCATTCACCGGATGCCACTGTGGAACACAGCACCGCAACACGGATGCCACAGCGGAAACTTTATTCATTTCTTCAAGTCTTGTGTCACGCAACCGATCGATTTTCCAACAGTGTATTTGGATATGCTGAGAGAAAAGGAAATGGGTGGCATTCCTGTACGCAGGCCACAAGCGGGTGCTACGTAGTTAGATTACATTTAGTAATCTAAATGCAAGTAATCTTTAGCAAATTTCTAAATGGTTATCTACTTTTTATACTGTGCCCAAATTCACTTAGCATTTAAAATGATTGATATTAGTTTTTTAATGATTTATAGGCCAAATAGAATTGTAATTTTATTTTCAGATAAAATAGAATTTTAACATTGCCCATTGATCATGCCATGAGAGAAAATAATTATTTGCTATCAATATCATCTTGAATTTGAATACTGGTGCATCCCCAAACACATTATGTATTTTTATGTATTTAGATTGTCCTATATTTGCGCTTTCATACCCAGGTCTCCTTGGCAGATATCTGTCCTGTTGGCTCCCCCAAGAATGAACTGTGGATTGCTACAAATGTCCTGTTTAGGAATGAGAAACACACATTTATAATTGTTATAAAAATATTTTACATCATAACTGTATTTTTAGATTTCTACAAGCTTCAGAAAAAGAATATGACTATATCTGTGAAGATCTCAGCACCACCATAGAAATTCAGCAGCTGTAGGTCATAAAGTTTGCTGACCGGAACTTTGCTAGCGCGTTTTTATGAGGCAAGATAATGTACAGTATGTAAGTCCTTCTCATTCTTTTTTAAAGTGTCAGTAAACGCATATGAAAATGTGTGACTGACTTTTTGAAGCTCCAATCCAAAAATTGATTTAACGACCTAGCAAAATGTCCAGTAACCTGATTTTTTGAAAGCAGTATTATGAAGCGAAGCTAGTAAATGTATATGTCACACATCAGTCAAAACAAATAGGTAAACTTTTTATAAGTTACATGAAATGGACTGACAAAAAACACCACATATATCCACTAATGCAAATGCATGACACATTTAATCCGTCTATACTTTAAAAACTAAACGTTACTTCAACATCTTTGCTTATATTATTAATAGCGATGATAAGAAAATATAGCCACATATCAAACCTATTGACAAGTCCATAATCAGGTAGAGCTCTACTTTATGAAGCACTGGCACAGCATAGTATGCATGATTTGGCAAGTCAGCTGCTTGAGACCCCAGAGCGTGTTAAACCACAGCCATGTCCCCAACACACGCACACACACACTACACAAACATTTTTGTCTGCAAAAATATCTTATCTCATGCTGCCTACTCAGATAAAAACTGCAAACAAAAGCAACTGCTTGTTGCTTAGGTATGTAAGACCAACTGAAAAACTGAAACATTGCAATGAATTATTAATCAAGAGTAAATACATTATTTTTATGCATGTTTGAAGAAATGTATGGAGATGGTCATGTAAGGAAATAAACTGACATTCTCACAAAATATAAAAATTGCTAAAATAATATTTTAAAAATACAAATGAAATTAAAAATATTTAATTTATTCAAATTAATTACATTCAATTCAATTAAAAAAACATAATTTGATGTGTAAAGCCATAGTTCACTTCTGGGTCAAAACTGACCTGAACATAAAATATGCAACAATTTAGTTTAAATGGTTATATCTCTTTAAAAAATAATTGTGGGGGGGAAAATGTATTTTGATGGCCTTAATCCATTTGCAGTTTTCTTCCTCATACTAAAATTTTTATTTATTTTTTAATTTGTTTGTACTGCTTCATGGGTCAAAACTGACCTGAACGCAATAGGAGGGTTACATTAAATTAAATTAAAATATGTTTTGAGCCAAGAAGAAAATATCCCCATGCAGAATTGCAGAAATGATATGATCATTTAATCCAAAATACATCTCTCTACCACAGAGGGTCAAATGCAACTGATCTCATGCACAGTGCCACCTTACGGTAGGTCACTCACCGATGGGCGCTTCCATTCAAGCTTTAGAGGGAACTTTTCACTGTAGAAGAGAGAGGAATCCTGGGCAGGGAACAGGGGGTCTTCAAACAGCACTTTCTTACGTACATATTTGTCTCTGAGCTCCTGAAAGTCCTTGAGACACCTAGCATCTTTAACAGCCTCGTTGCGACTCAAAATGGCTGAATAAATGTTTCCCGGGGCAGTAAAACCACTGCCCACAGTCTGTGGAGCAGCTTCAGTCAGTTGGACAGATGTTTCTGAGAACTTCTGTTCTCCTGCCATATTACTATTTGATGACAGATGTCAAAGGAGCGATGAATGAATATAGGGCTCAGTATCAGTATCCGAGGTAGCTAAATTTTCTCTTAGTCCTTATTTCACTCCTCTGTTCCTTTATATTCTGGTGGAGGCACACCCCTGGTCATGTACACAAATAAACACTCAGACTAAGGCAAATGCTCTACACCGGTTCACACACACATGCACGCATGCTCACATGTGCTTGCAACTTTTCCCTGTTCCTCTTAGAAGCTAACTCTATTTATAGGCCTCCTACAGGGACCTGAGGGTTTCTCTCTTTCTGCCTGTCTAATGGGGGCATGATTCCCAGCTGGTGACCTCAGACATTTCCAATGCAGATAATGGAAATTACAGAGGTCCAGTCAAAGATTAGAAAAGTAAAACCCTGGAGCACTATACCACAAAGCATCCGAATGTATATTTCTACAAACCTTTACAGATGAACACGCAGGTGTTAAAAAGTTCATTCTCCATCACGGACATTTTTTAAAAAGTATACTTAAAATTTCTATTTACTTCTAATACATCTACTATACCAAATATACACATGCTGTACATTTGATATATTCAGACATAATACATTTCTCTCTCTTTTTATGGAAAAAGGTAACTGGCAGTGGACTTTGCCTTTGTGTGCCCAATCTCAAGTTTCTTTTTCTAAAGAAATTTGCCATATCTACTACTCTTCAAACCTTCTTGTCATTTTGCAAACCATCAATCAAATAAATAAATAACCACAACCCTACAAAGTGGTTTGGACAAATGAAAATGAATGAATGAATGAATGAATGTGGCCTACAGGACAGAAAGTTGCATTATGTATTAAATGTATTTAGAGGTCTTCTTTTGAACACATATCATAGGCCTATGTCTATGTAAGGTAAGTGTAAACGGGGCAAACATATAATTTATGATATATATCATACAATATATAAACGCATCATATATAATCATCTCTCTACAGGTAGTGAATTCATATACAAAGGATGAACGAATAAATGTGTATCATTTCTCCGTCTCGGTCATCGAGGGGTTAAATCATGAGCTGTGAAGGTGGCGCTGTGTTACTTTGGTCCTGATTTACACTCGCTTAATAAACGACAGCAGTTCATACAGGAATAAGCAACAGCGCACCTCAAAACTCGGAGCTGTCGCCATTTACCTGTAGCTTTTTCAGGGATATCGGTGTTTATTTAACTTAAGTCCATTCGTGTCGTAATATTTAAGTGTTACGGGAGAAACAACTCGTTCAGTAAGGACTTTAGTGAAGAACGCGAATATCCGGGAGTGTAGCATCCGCGGCTATCTGACTAAACGCATCAAATCTGACAGCCAGTAATATTTGTCTTTCTGTTTTAGCTGACTTTAATGGCCGGGAAGTTTTGATATTTTGCTTATTTTATTTAACATTTACCATATCGCCCAAGGACATCTATTTCTCGGATATAATAATCGCGAATGCTCCGGAGGCCGCGGAGCTGCGCTGCTAGCTTCTCACTCGCGAGTCGGCCAAGGGGAAAGTGAACAGTCATTTCATATCTTGGAATTTCTGTGGACCACTAACTCTCACCTTTGACAGCTACACTCCTACACGGACTCGTATTGTTTGAGGATTTATCATTTTTTCTCATCGTCTGAGGATTTTCCTCCTCCGTGTCCTCAACAACCAGCGACTAGCTGCTTCCGGCGAGCTGGCGACGCCGCTCATCTCAGGATAGACAAAAGTATGTTGTGTTGTATTTGTTTCTTATCAGTGAGGTGGGATAGTCGGCTGTAGTCTGTTTTGAGTGCTTGAGCATAAACTGAGGCCTTGGTTGAATTGAGGACAGGACTGTGAGGAGAGAGAAATGATGTAAACATTACTAAAGCAGCGTGTCTGCTCATGCCTCAGGAATTGTTACGGTCTTGTACAGTTTTGGAGGTCAAAATGACCTTAGTTTTAAGTGAAACTGACACAGTGACACTGAGCTAATTCAGTTCAGTTTCTGCTGTTTAGATTTATCCTTCATTTAAAGTTGTTAGTTTTTTGTTTGTGTTTTAGAGTGAATGTGTTTTGCTGGTTCCCTTTCGTTTCAGATTTGGGCACATTCAAAATCCATAATTTACATGGAATATCATAACATTTAACCTGAAAAGTGTCATGTAAGTTACATGGCTCACTTTACTTGTATTTTGTTTACAATCATCTTCATCAGTTGTCATAGAAGACAATCAGGAAAATCTACAAAACAATAAAACGAAACCGAAATGTACAAATTAAATAAATATTATAGTAGCTATCTTTGTAATTGCGGTCTCTAAATCCTTAAAACTGCAAAGGTTATGGAAAGTAATTGGTCAAAATGTAGAAACCCTGAATTTTGATTGAATTTGGCTGAAGGAGGGGGAAAAAAAACTCTTGACTGAATTAATATTTGAAGCTGTAACAATGTGACTCATGTATTAAAGGCAATATTTTACAGTTTATACTCTTTTGCAGCACTCTGCCTCCTGCCCTTGAGGTGTGAGTCAGCCAGATTTCTTTTCCTGTGGCCGTTCAGGACAGCACTGTCAGTTATCAGTCAGTGATGTCAGAAGAAGGAAAGCAGAGCGCCACACCTGCCCCTGCATCCACTATGGACATGAAGTCTGAGTCCACAGCCTCGCCACCTACCGGCCAGGCAGTTTCAACTGTGTCTCCCCCGGTGTCCACAGTAACACAGCCTGCACTACCTGCAACTGAGGATGAGGAGGAGGAGAGCGAAGATGAATCTGAGATTCTGGAGGAAAGCCCCTGTGGACGCTGGCAGAAACGGAGAGAAGAGGTACATTCCAAGTCTTATCAGTAGCTTTGTGTAAAGAATGGACCAAAATTTAAGCCATAATTCATCGATAATGTTCCCCTCTGCTAAATGAAGACTGTGTTCATTTTTGAACCCCCTCCCCCCCAACAGGTTAACCAGCGCAACGTCCCAGGTATTGACAATGCTTATCTTGCCATGGACACAGAGGAAGGTGTGGAGGTGGTGTGGAATGAGGTCATGTTTTCTGAACGAAAGAACTTCAAACTACAAGAGGTAAAACTACTAACTGTGTGCCTGCTTGTGTGCTACTGACTTCTATCTGAAATAATGGCTGAAGCTTCAATGATATTCAACAAGGAAAACATGTGGAGTATGACTTTGTGCATCAGAATGGAAGTATGCTAAAACTTACCTTCAAATCTGCTTTAGTATTATCCAATAGATTGCATAACCTAAATAATGTCATTGTGATGGAAAGTTGTTTCAGATGAAGATTACATAAATTGTAATAATGTTTCGCAATGTTACACACTTTACTGTGTTTCTGATCAAATATGCAGCTTTGGTGAGATTTCTTTCAAAAAAACTTTTATATGGAACATGCAGGATCAGTTTTGATTTCATGTTGACATTTCAAGGGATCTTAACTGTTACTGATATGACTGAACTGAGAGTTTGCTGTTAGTAACACAAAACACCTTTATTTCAAATATCCTGCTAAACCTTTGTTTATTTAAACCTGATGGAAGCATAATCGGTGAGTGTTACATAAAGTAGTCTGACCTGTTTGCTGCCTAGCCTTTATGGAAACAGCATTATCGCTCTGAGCCTTCTGCTACTTATGAAAAGTATTGTAAGAAAAGCATTCTCTGTGGTTATGGTTTTATCTCTTGTGTGTTGAAATATTAAAAAGGTCATTCTGCTCTTTTTAATATTGCATACTTCACTCATCATTGTCATTGCCTGTAAGCGTGTTTAATCAAACCCGATTCATTAATGCCTGGCATAGAGTGGTGGACAGCCATCTGTTTGGCCCGTCCACATACTGCGCTCCGCTCTGTTTGACAGACACTCATTGTGGAATTCAAGAAGTCATTTTAGACTTAGAGGTTGCGTTTTGACAGGCTTTGCTGTCTACTCTGCTGATTGCATTTCCCATAAGCACATGTGACTAGTTTTTCCCTTGATCATTTAAATTAGTTTGTTATTGCATGATAAAATAATAAAGTTAGAGTTCAGTATTTTATTATAATAGCCAGTTCCTCTAAAAATCAAAATGTTGTGTTACATATTTCTGTCAAACAGCTCCCTCAAGGTTAAATTAATCTACTTTTCTTTTTATATTTCTCAGGAAAAAGTGAAAGCGGTGTTTGATAACCTCATCCAGCTGGAACATTTGAATATTGTAAAGTTTCACAAGTACTGGGCAGATGTGAAGGAGAACAGAACCAGGGTATGAAACGCAACAACAAAAATATAAAAAATGTCCCATTTTTGAAGTTTGTTTTTAATCATGTTTTTTTTTTTTTTTTGGTCACCACTTGTAAATTCAGTTGGTTTCCCCCACACTAGTGTATGATGTGTTGCATGTAGCAAACTAAATTTAATTAACAATCACAAATATCAATCAGTGATTCTGAGTGTTGCAGTATAGCTGAAATATGAAGAAAATATGAATGAAGAAATACCCTCAAAAAAAAAAATGCATACACACTTTTTTTAATAGTTAGATGCATTGGATGTTTCTTTTTTTCTCCTCCCTTTAAGAATTTATGGTTAAATATGGTAACCGTTACTTGTTCACCATACCCCCCACTGTTGACTGTCTACAAGAGCCAATCAACTTTTCAGCATAATATGTTATTGTGATGTGAAGTGTCATGTTTCTCTGTGTATGTGTGTGTTTTAGGAGTTTATTCAGAAGTGTCTGGAGGTGGACCCCAGTAAGAGGCCCACAGCCAGAGAGCTGCTTTTCCATCAAGCTCTGTTTGAAGTGCCTCTTTTGAAACTATTGGCTGCACACTGTATCGTCAGTCACCAGCGTGAGTCATGAGCTAATCTCATTGTCATTCAGACATTTCATTTCATGTCAACTACTTCATGAATGGAATGCAATGAAACTAAACGCATTAAAACCATTTCCCCTTTGGCTTCTAGACATGATCCCTGAAAATGCTTTAGAGGAAATTACCAAGAATATGGACCCCAACCAGGTCATAATGGAAAGGAAAGAGGTCCAACTCAAGTGAGTCTCCTCCTGTGATTCATGTGTGCCTTGTTCTTGGTTTTAGGTTTCAAATAAGCTGTCATGCCACCTAAATGGCTTCTTTTCCCATCAGACTCTCACAGTTTCCTGCTTTGGAGCTTGACAAGTTTCTTGAAGATGTGAGGTGAGCTAAAACAAATAATAATCTAATTTATAAAAAAAAAATGTTAAGAAAGAAAGGAGTTGGGCCAGATTCAAATGTTAAGAAAGCAGTCACAATGTTCAAACAGGCATAAATGTAATATCAACATGTGCTCTTGGTTCTCGTGATGTAGGAATGGGATCTATCCACTGACTGCCTTCGGCATGCCCTGCCCACAGCAGCCTCAGCAAGAGGCTGTCAAGTCCCCCATCGTGCCACCCTCTGTCAAAACGCCTACGCCTGAGCCTGCAGAGCTGGAGACCAGGAAGGTGAGAAATGGACTGATTTAAGAGACAGTGACCAACTATCAATGATTAAGAATAAATCACCGTTTTCTTACCTTCCCCCACTGTCGATCAGACAAATCTAGACAGGTGGTTACAGTCAAAGTCAACAGGATTTGCAGACATTTAGTAACATATGTTTGTGTTAAAGATAATCTTTCTCCTTTAAGGTTGTACAAATGCAGTGCAACATTGAGCCTGTGGAGGAAGGAGCAAAACATCATGTAAGGATTTTTCCTGTTTATTGCTGTAATGACGTTGAAGTTGGATGATAATTCTGTGTTTAAAACTTCTCTCGGCTCTTTTTATAGCTGACCTTACTGCTAAAACTGGAAGATAAGCTGAACCGACACTTGAGTTGTGATTTGGCACCAAGTGAGTACTTTATCAGGCCCCAAACACACTCTACACAAGCATGTAAACACTTCTAGCTACACAGCTTGATTTCACATGCCGTTGTGTTCTGTAATGTGTCAGAATGAAGCACAAGTATGCGTTGTATTCTCAGCTGCAAGAGACACGGCTATAATGGGCATCAGCACAGACGGTTTTGTCTTTCAAGTCAAGTTGCTCAGAATCAAGAAGCTTGCAGAGTTAGTTCAACTGTCAACATGTTTATATCTAGCTACCTGAATGCACATCCGGTTTAATCCAACACAGATGTTTGTACCACCACATGAAAAATAAGCAATTTACAATGACCATTTGCATTCAACCAAATTTGTGTACCTGCGTAATATGTTTCTGGTCTAATGTTCTCGTTTCTGTTCTTATTTGTGAATTATAAAATAATTGTGTTACAAAAACATGCAGATTCTCTAAAGTGCATCAGATTCAGATTAGAATTGTGACTATAGAAAAGTGAACTGTGTTAACATATGGCAGTTTTCCACCAGCAGCATGTTGACTTATTGCAACAACGGAGTATTGCTGAAACTTAAGAACGGTGTTCTCTGTGTGTTTTAGATGAGAATGTACACGAGTTGGCCGTGGAACTGGTCCAGCTTGGCTTCATTAGTGAGGTAAGATGTTTCACTCAAGATTTAAATATATACTATCATTCTTTTTGGAAAGAAATTACTTTCCTTTCTTTCTGTTCATCCAAAAAAAAAAAATTTCTCAACTGGTCTGCATGCTAGTATACTGTAACAATTGTTTGACATATTTGCAGTATATTAAAACTCCGGGTTTCTGGTTGGGCAGCATCATTTGGAGCAAGTTTGCACTGATTTGTTTTATGTTCATGGCAATAAATTTCATATTCACCTCGATGGTACATCAACATCATGTTACAAGCGGCTAAGTTGAAATTATGCATGAAATATGGTTTAACTACTGAAAAATTCTAGTTTTCTTCTCATTGGTAATTGTTGCTTTTCTATTATAAAATGGTTCGAATTGCAAATTGCTTCAGCAATTTGACTGGAGTGGAAATGATTTCGGAAATATTGAAATGCACACAAGGTTTTTTTTTTTTTTTTCTTAATGCAGACCAGCAGTGACAAATTGGAACAATTTTAAATGAATTAATTCATTCTGTGCTTATTTTGAAAGGAACAACAGGCTTTGTATCAATCCCTCTCTCAGTTTGGTCTGTTTAACGGGCTGAAAATATTGCTCAGAATCATTTTGAAGTGTCTATTTTATCTCATGCAAAACATTCAGAAACTCAACTGCTTTTACTCTATTGACACTATCTTTTCAAATTTGCACCATTTATTGATATAAAGATGAGATACAGAGTACTTCCATTCTTTGTCTGTTTCATTTCATCTAAGTACAATATTAAAAGGAACGGTTCACCTAAAAAACTAAATTCTGACGTTATTTATTTACCCTTGTGTCATTCTAAACCCATATGACTTATCTGTCTCTGTGGAATACATATACTATATATCATTTATTTGTTTTATTTTTGAAGTTAGTTTGAACTGTTTTTGTCCATACAATAAAGTTAGTGGGGTCCAAAATGACACTGAACCCCACTGGCTTTCACTTCATAGGTTTGGTTGAGAAAAAAGAAAAAGGTGTGCGTAAATGTTGGCAGAACTTTCATTTTTGGGTGAATGCTGCCTTTAAGTCTCTTGTGTCAGAAATGTGGGAAAAAAATACAAGATTATCATTGAAAATGACTTTATTTTTTTAATTAGTAATTTTAATGAATTACTACTTCCAGAATTATTGGAAGAAAACAGCCCTTGCACAAATGCACAATTAGACATCAAAATCTTTTCTTTTTTTTCCAAAGCAATCATTTTACATAAATTGGCATGCAGACCAACAAGTAGAATTACAAAATTAAACCATTATTTCATCTTGGTTTAGGAAAAAAAAAAAAAAAAAGAGTATGTCAAGCCAGAAAAATAAACTTCTCATTAAAAATTATCCCATCGATACATAAAAAAGTCAATTTCAGAAACATGAAAACCTACAAACATTTTTTTGGGGTGTTGATCACTTCTGTTATAACGTGTGTAATGTAAAAAGAATACAAAACGTTACAAAGCACTCAAATATTCACATACTGACTTACGTTTGATATTGGCTTGTTATATAAATTTAATTCACATAAATAATGAGGCACAGAATGACCAAGTGAGGCATTGGCCTGTTATTGTCATGGCTGAAGAAAAGCCTCTTCATTTTAAACCCAACACAGGATATCTTGTCCTCACAATGAACTGTGCTCCTCATCAAGTTCACACTTTTCATTATACTGGTATCTTGCCATTTATGCAGTTTGCAGCGGTTTGCTCAGCATTCGATGGTCGCCTGCTGGTCAACAATGTATTTACAGTCAACTTTGATTCTGGAATGAATCTCAAAGCAAGGTCACCTATAAGCGGCCTCAGTGTCTCTGCTGGAATCAGTAAACACAGCCGAAGACTCACCAGAGGCTGTTGGCATTGTCAAAAGGCAAAGTTTTCAGGCAAATCTTGAAGCAGAGATGCCCCCGTGTTTGGAATGTCGAGTCAAAACAATCCTTCAAAAGCCGATTTGTCCTTGCTGGTCTTATTTCTTAAGACACTGATACATGAGCGCTCTGGGATTCAGCATGTAGCGCTCAGAGTTGAAGAACTTGAGGTACTGAGGCATAGAGGACCTGGGGGCCATGTACGACATACCTGGAGCCACGGCCATCGCTTCAGCAAGCTTCTGCTTCATTTCTTTGACCTCATGGTCTTGTTTCAGAATTTTAACTGTAAAGAAAGACATTAGAGATATTCATATTGTGCCCAATACTGATGAGGATGATTTGATATTAATCTATGTTATTTCTATATTAATTGATATTTATATTATACTACTAAAAAACTTAAATACATTTTTAGTCCAAATAAATACATAAATATAAAAAACTAAAATGAATAATTTAAGTGCTACAAGGTTCCAAAAGGTTCTTTTTTGTGTGTGAAGAATATTTAAATAATATAACAAACTTGGAAATGTTCCGTGGATGTTAAAGGTTCTTCACTGAACCATCGATGCCAATTAAGAACCTTTATTTTTTTAAGAATAATTGAATTTAGGCATAATATTATTGTGCAGTATGAAAATAGATATTCATTTTAACATCTGCTAAACATTTAACAAGTGTTATTAAATTATTAGTGTTATTGAATTCTAATATTAAGTGAGGTTTAGATGAAAGCAAATGTAATCTTAATGTAAAAAAAAAAAGTTGCAGTGTGGGTCTTGTATGGATAACTGGCATAATTTGAAATGAGATGAACCTTGCGCTATCTCCAGCTGTCTGCGTGCATCTCCGAGCGCAGAGAAGAGGTCTACTGTCATAATTATAGCCTTCCATGTTCATTTGTTGCTGTCGTAAAGT